AAGTTATGATCATCTTTTTTGAAGATTGTATCAAAATTCTCAGTCATCCGACATTTATATCTATGAAATTGAAACCATGGTAAATTCTTCCAACTTTTCAGCGCATGCGTACAATAAAGAGGAAGAAGTGAAGCAATATTTTTGTGATGGGTTATACAAAGATTTTTTTTTCTTTTATTTTTCTCCATTAAATTAGATTTTTTAGGTTCTGAAACCTGTAATTTTCTGAAACCTAATATCTTCAAGAACTGAACAAAATTTGCATGTATCATGCAAAAATTCTACTGTTATCAATTTTCCCGTTTGTCTGTCACAGTGTCACTTTAAATGATTATAGACGATAATGGTCAACTAATAACTAAATTATTTGAAAAACGGGATGATCAGCTTTTCAATCGTAAAGTCCCCTTATTTATTTAGAAATATTCCAACATCATCTGCATATGATGTTTATGTCTTTAAAATTATTCTATATGTATGAGCATGCTCTGAGTACGATCAATTTTTAAACCGAGGCAAACTACTGACAATAGGTTGATGTTACACAGATTAAATACATTCTGCATTGTCACCATAATCAGAACTAAATCTAAGCTATTTTAATTGACAAGGTTTGTTCATAACATAATTCGATAGATAACTGCAAATGATACGCTGTAAGATACGTAATATAAACGGTTCACGGTACTTAACGGTGATTTAATTAAAAAACTACGGGATAGGCTGGGTAACGACATGGTGTTTGAACAGTAATTAACACTTCACAAAGTGATTAATTAACCTGAATCTCAATCCAGAGAGCCTTAATTATCTCCAAAAATGCTTTGTTCCTATACATTGTATTTTGAAATGAACGGAAGTTCATTATTTGGTATAAGATATGAAACTAAATAGATGTATGTCGAAGACAAGAAGCATATACATGTACACTTATTTATTTACAGGAATAAATCGAATTACAATATTAAAATGAAGGTCTGAAGAAAGAAAGAAAAGAAAGACATGTCTTTAAATATACTAGAATTCGGACATTTTCACATGCTTTTTTTTCATCAAGCTTTAAGTACACTTGTTCCCGATATCATCGATCACTTCGAAAAAAAAGTTATCAGGATACAATGAAATACTTTACAACTTAAAAAACAAAAAGGAATCTGTTGTGAGAGCTGAACAAACCTTTCATATATATCTGACTGTTTCAGCAAAACATGTTAAAAATCACCAGCTGGCCAAACGGTTATGGTAACTGACTTTTTGTTAGTCAAAATGATTCACTGTATGTGTATGTAAAAAAAATGATAGACTTATTACATGTATATAGAAGTAAAACTACTAACCTTACGGTCCACATTTTGTAACCACTCTGTATTTTATTGCTATATATGATTATATATTTTTCAGTTAGGATGTGGGTCAGTGATCCTTTAAAGAAAATATCCAGTGATCTAGATCCAATTGCCAAGATATTTTACAAAGCCTGTCTTTATTCAATATACAGCCTTACCACTGTTGCATGTGCTTTACTATAAATTACTTGAAACAGTATATAAAGATATGCATAAAAACGGATACGTTTAAAAACTGCGAAAGTAAAATAAAACGACTTTAAAATAAAATTTTTTTTAAAAGTGTGTAAACCAAAAAATCAGGACATAGACGAAGATATACACGCAAACTACACTAGTGAGTCGATTTTGCCAATAAATGCACGTAAACCTTTAAGCACTTTGAATGAAAGTTCCATTATGAATCAAAATATTTTTAAGTAATTGTTCGAGACACCAATCTAAGAAAAGTAATATCTACAAAGTGTTTACAGTAGTTACATGATCGACGTGTCAAGAAATTGAAATGTTTGAAAAGAGAGATGTCTCCCTAGATAAAATATATTTTGAAATTTAAAACATAGTTTATTTACATGTATTTAAAGACACTGGAGAAGACGAACATTCTGAACATGCAATTAAAAAAGGGAAAAAAAAAATTCATGCAAATTAATAATTTTACAAACACACGTTAGAAAGCATAATGACAAATATGGCCAGTGCATCACTGCGGATTTTATTGATGAAAAAAAGAACCATCCAAGGCTACTAAAAGATTTTTTTCGGTAAAAAATGTTCTGAATTTTCACTGTACATTTAACTTTGTGGTAGGAATGTCATTGTTTGGTCTGTTCAGGGTTCAAAGCCATTTTAATCTCTCCACAAAGAAACTGAGTTGAATACATGTATTATGAACTTTTTTTCTCTATGAAGGTCTCGAACGGTTTGTATCCATTTTTGAAAAGATACTTTCTCAAGTAAAACAAAGTTTGCACCAATGATAGTTGATACAGTTGTATAATTCACTGACTTGTTTGATTCAAAGGATTTGTTCTATGTAATTGATTGTTTCAAAATGCAATAAAAACCTTAAAGATCAGAAACATACTTAGAGGATTCATACCAATGCATGCCAGGGAGGTTGTATCTAGACAATCTACCGGAACTTGATCAGTTTAAAAGGTCTATTTCGCTAAAAGCATTGAACACAAAATGTTAAAAAAAAAAACAATTAATGATGTATAGGATGATTCCATCTTGGTACAGTTTTGTGAGGAATATATGAAACTTCTTTTCTACCCATATATTGGTCTTTGAATTTCAATTCCTACCATTATTCACAACCTTTTCTAAATACACACAAAAATATTTAGAGCAGCTAGTGAAGGAGAAACTTCAGTACTGTACAACAAAGATATATGAGAAGCAATGTTAATCAGATGTGGATACTTAAAAACTCCAAGCAATTTTAAGAAATTTAAAATGATAAATTTTTACCTATCAATAGCATCAAAACATATGACATTTCAACACTTCATACAACAATTCCCAACGATAACAAACTTTTGGACATCATATGACAACTGCTTTGTCAATAAGTAAGGAACTCGTAAATTTATCTACTTTGTCATTGGTCACCTGCAAACTTATTTTGTTAAAAACATTCTAATTCCACAGAAGTATTCCAATGTTAAAATATATATATATATATATATATATATATATATATATATATATATATATATATATATATATATATATATATATATATATATATATATATATATATATATAAAAGCTAGAGTTCCTGATTGACAGTATCTATGCAGGTTTTGGAGACAATGTCTTCCAACAAGAGGCCCAAGTGCCTTAACGGTCACCTGAGTATAATGCAACAATTTAGAAGATCCATAGAGTATAAAATAAACTGATAGATGAAGCTTTGTTACCCAAACGCAAAAGAAATAGGATGATCAGGATCAATAAAATAATTAGTCTAATATTCAGTAACAACTCATATTAAATTCTAATTTATTCCTCATTTATCACTATCGCAATGCAGACTATTAACAAACCATTAGTTCTTCTGTATTACTTTTAACCCCATATTTTGACCCCTCACATTAGCCTTTCTTGGTCGTTGAAGAACATTTTTAAGAAGATAAATTATTTTTGTCTCATTTTTATTTCTTTATTATTTACAAGTCTACCAGATCATTGAAAGTAGGAAAATACTTGTTGTATTAGAAAATGCATTTTTTTTTTTTTTTTGCATAATTCTCTTACTCTTTCAACTTTCAAATACTTTATTTACAGTGATTAATTATCAAAAAAGAATGGCAAAGGGGAATAACTTCTCGATCTTAGTAGAATACAAATTAATAGAGCGCTGGCCAGGACCAGAACACTTGACCAAATGGTCCTGATGTTAAAAAATCTGGTAAAAATATCCTTGCTTATTTATACTTTTATTCTGTTTGTTTACTTTTGGCTTATGAGTGTGACCTGAAAATGAAAGTAGCGTTAAATATGAAATTTCAGTCAAATATGTGAGGTTGTGATTGGTGTACATACTGTGATAAAGTTGTCTGATTTGTGCACTCATCCATAAACTCCTCCAAAGTATGATTTTAAATTAGTGAGATGAATGGAAAAGAAGATGCTGCTTATTGTTCCCCGCTTTCGAGAAAGCGAGGGGACATTAAATCTCATTCGTCAGTCTGACCGTCTGTCAGTCACAAAAAAATTAACTTGCTCATAACTTTTGAATGAGGAGAGATAGGGCTTTCTTTCATATTTCACATGTACATTACGTGTAACAAGACCTGTTCAAATATCTATAATTTTTGACCCGTGACCTCGAAGTGTGACCTACTTTCCAAAAATTTTAACATTGTTTATAATTTTTGAATGAAAGAAGATAGATCATTCATATTTGACATGTGCATTAAGGCCCTTTCACAATTGGCGCACGAGCACTTTACAACACTTTGCGATCGGAATTTTTTAGCATCGCACGAGCTCTCGCATATGTTGCACGATGTCTCGCATTCGTTGCATGCGTTTTAGTGGTCGCATCAAGTCTCCTCAAAATAGTGGACATGCACACTATTCAGACGCGCCCAAATGCGATCCAAATTATCGCAATGCAACGCACGAACATTAGTACGAACGTTTTACAACGTTTTGTGTACTCGTAAGAGTGATGCACGATTTTTAAAGGTCTTAAGATGAATCACAGCAGTGTTTTGCGACCATGAGACTGTTGCTCAACGTGTCTCATGTAATCTTGCAACGTTTTACTATCATTGCACGATTTATCAGCTTCAATTTGCCATGCAAATATTAAATATATACACCATATATATTATATTTATATACCAATACGATATCAAACCGCCGAAACACTTTGCTGTCATAATAATACAGTCAATAATTAATTACGCACATTCTAAACGATAACAATATTGGAAGAAATAAGAAAAATCACAGCACTGTGTCGGGTTCTCTAAATTTAGAAATGCGTGGCTGATGGGTGTTGCCTAAATGCACTCGAACGAGCATTCGTACCATGGAACGCATGATCGCACGTTCCCCGAACGGCTACTCGCCAAAAACAACAAGTAATTATCACACTCAATTAAGGGGCCCTCTAAGGGGTACAGGTAGACTTAC